AGGCTCTGAGCAAGAAGGCCCGGTGAGCTCCTTTGACCTAGTTGCGGAGTAGGTAACCTTTAACCTTATTTGGGGCTTAGGGCATCCTTAAGGAGCTCCTTTAAGGGATCTATAGGGGTTCTACAAGGGGCTGTTACTAGTAGAGTAGGTAACCTTGGTGAGCTCCTTTAGTGGTACCTTATTTGTGGTCCTTATAATAAGGACCCTACCAGTTAGGGTCCTATATTAGGATCCCCTATTTTTTGGAAATCCCCCATATGGGAGTTTCCGAAAATTATGGGTGCCTTATCCTAGTAGTAGAGTAGGTAACCTTTAACCTTTTTTTGGTAGTATAGTCCCTGTATAATCCCTATATGCCCAAAAAGGTTAACCTTTAGTTCCCCATGATACCCGACAAGTAGGTTGATAGAGGGGTGTAGTTTAGGGTCTAGGGTAGTGAGACGCAGATCTGTCACCGTAGCAGAAGGCCCAGAGAGATCCCTTGATTAGGATTTAGAGTCTAGTGAAAGGGGTTCAGGGTTCAGAGGGCCCGAGAGATCCGTTGATTAGGGTTTGGGGTTTAAGGAGAGAGGGGTTTAGGGGTCAGGGTTTAGGGTTTCTGTCTAATCTTGGATTTGAAGGAGTGTGGAAAACACGAATATAGAAGCTTCAATAATTACCCATACTATTTGGGGGTACCTTTTATGATTGTACTATACAGTGGCGCTAAACCATATTCTACAGGTTAAGGCACCTGTATGAAGACACGTTTCGTTGCACAGTTGTCTGCATGCCTCCAAGAGGGGAGGCTGACAGGTTGCAGGCTAAGGGTTGTCAGGTTGTCCTTCGGAGGTGTTTCCACCTGTGAAGTGCGAACATGGGGCATCGGATGTTGTGGCCTCGATGTACATGGGGGGCCGTTTGTGGGCAGTGACATGGCACTGCCTCTGGCTTGACATCTCTCGCCTTTGCGTCGACATGGCGTAAATTTTGATTAGGGCATTAGGGTAGCCAGCGCAGGCTGTACGGTTGATGATATAAATCCTGCATTACCCATTATAAGAAATATTCAAGAATTCCCATAGTTTAGGGTTCTTAAGTAGTGCAGGATTTATATCATCAACAGTAGCACATGCCGTTGCCCTCGATCGAGGATCCCTGCTTCTGTGCAGGCGCGAAAGCGCTTGAAAGCGAAAGCCCAGCAGAAGCAAGGCAACCCGGACTAATGTAAGAGCCGTAATAATAGTTCGAGTAGTGTTTGGGGGTTTCCTAGAATTCTATAGATATAGTAAAGAACCCCCAAAATCCTATTCTAATATTATTAAAGCCCCTACATTAAGTTGATGTTTGTTGCAGTTGCCAGTTCAGTGCTTTTGCCACCGCATCTTGCTCTCAGTTCATCGGCATAAGTTCCTAAACCCTAAACCCTAAACTCTAAACCGTGGGGCATAAAGAACTTTTACGAATCTTGGTTGCGCCTTTCGCTCCTCGCGGATGTCGCAGGCTGTGGACAGGTCCTACGGTTTAGCAGGCCTAAACCTCAAAACCTAAACCCCTAAACCCAAAACCCCTAAACCTTAACCCCTAAACCCCTGAACCCCTAACCCCCACACCCCTAAAGCCCTAGACCCTTAACCCCTAAACCCCTGAACCCCTAAAGCCTAACCCCTAAACCCCTGAAACCCTAAACCCCTAAAATCGAAACACCCTGAGCCTAAAAACTCCTCAGGCTTGATCCCCGATCCTGGAACCCACCAATGCCAAGACCCTTAGTAAACGCTACCCAAGAGCCCTAAAGTAGTTCCTTTTGGGGGTTCGTATTGAGAATTCTATAAGGTAATCCCCAAAAGGAACTACTTTGGGGCCTATGGGTAATGACTCACTAATGTGGGAGGTTCCGAGCATTAGGGGTGCATTATTTGGGGGTTCTTATTCTAAGGATCCTCGTATTTAGGGCGTGATATTAGCATGCCCTATTTTCGGACATCCCCACCATATAGACCCATGGTCGCTTCAGCCGCCCCGTGATGGGATTACAATAGGGATCCATTAGGGGCCTTAAGGCGAGGGTTTGTTCAATCAGGTGTCGACTATAGGGGCCTCAATAAGATTACTAATACTATTTTTGTGGGTTCCTTAACCTATAGTATAATGGGCCCCCAAACCCTATACTAATTTTATTAAGGCCCCTAAGTTACTTTCGGCCCGAATCCTCAAACCCCAGTCCCCAGCTTCGCCTCACTCTAAGAGCCGGCCTCGAAAAGCTCGGGCACCGTCCAAAAGAAGAAAATCCCGGTCGATGCAGATGCAGGCAGAGTTTTCTGGCGTGTTTGATTATCGTTGGGACTCAATGTTCGGGGTTTGAAGGTCTGAGGGTTGACGGCGCATGTGTGGTGCGAGGGTTCGCCGCTCACTGCACATTGTCGACGGGGTGCCGTCATTTCATTCAATGACGAGGCATTTGCTCTTGAGCGGTTCGAACAAGGCCGTCATGATGTTGATGACGAATAAGACGAAGCTGATGTTGACGTTGAAGAAGATGATGATAATGGCGACGAAGCATGCGTGGTTCGTGTACCTTCAGTGTAGCTGACAGATTTCGCGGCGAATGCATAAAGTTTCTCTGGATCTGTTCTGAATTGTCCTTGCTCTTTTGGTGTCCGTATCTTAGTTGCTCCAAGAACTAATTCCTTTACCTCCACATCCAACAGCTTTTATTTCTAGCGCTGAGGATGGCAACAACCTTGTCGCAAGACAGTATACTGGAATAACTTCACTATTCAGCAACTGCAGGGATGCCACCGCAGTGAGGAAGCGCCACCATGAAGGGGTCGACCGCGAACGGCGGGGAACATATTGATAACTGCATCATGAGTGAGCATCGTCAAGAAGAAGTTGACCGCACCACAGCAGTAAGAAAGCGCTCGAAGGGTTTAGAGTTCAGGCTTTAGGGCTGTAAGCATAATCGCACAAGTCTTGATGCAACAACAAGGGCTTTAAGCATGAAGCTGCTGGCAACGTCCGATTGCTCTGTTTCCGCCTGGGCAACCCCCAAGCTGACTGGACAGGCGCTCGTCACGCGGGTTTTCCAGGCCCCATGCAGACCCAAAGCTCCTACTGAGTTAGTAGTTACAAGTTAAACTTGTAACCGTCACCCTGAAATTTTCTATGGAACAGGCCCCAAAGCCCTATAACCTCGCCTGGCTTGTCCGAGTGTGAGAGCGTAAACCTAAACCCTATTCCTAAACCACTAAACCCTAAACCCTAACCCTAAACCCCTAAACCCCTAAACCCTAAATTCCCCAATCCTGAAGCCTCACCCAGAGAGGCCAATACCCTTAATTAGGGAATATAGCTTAAATCATAATATGAAACCCCTGATAATTGAAGGTATATTCCTTAATTAAGGGGTATTAGAATCCCCTAAACCCTATATTTCTACCACTCAGCGCATGGATGGAGGAAAAGGGCCGTCTAAAAAAAAGATCCCTTATAGATCCCTTTAAGGAACCCTAACGCTGGGCTCTTTGGGCAATTGGAGCAGGCCCCAAAGCTGCGCCGAAGCGGCCGAATTCCGTGCTGGGCGGCGCTGCTCAGCGCCTTAAAGGATCGAGGCCTGGGGCCCTTGGGTTTCCTTTTTTCAATAGGGTTTAGGGGTTTATAGGGCTCAAAAAGTTTATATAGGATTTATAAATATAAGGGTTTATATAGGGTTTATATAGGGTTCATATAGGGTTTATATAGGGTTTATAGGGTTTACAAGGCTTATATAAGGTTCATGGGTTTAGGGGCTCTTTGGGCTTTCTTTTGTAGGAGGGTTTACAGAGTTTGGGGTCTAGGGGTTTATAGGGTTCTGGGGGCTTATAGGGTTTAGGGCCAGTTTAGGTTCAGGCGTTTACAGCGTTTGGGGGTTTTTAGAGTTTATGGGGTTTATGCGTTTGAGGGGTTTTAGAAGGCTTAGGGGGTTATAGGGTTTGGATGTTTATAGGGTTCAGGGGTTTATTGGGGTTCAGGGTTAAGGGGTTTGTAGGTTCTACTGTGGGGGACCTGTCGTGCCAGCTGACATCAGTCGTCAGGCGTCTGGAGTCAAAAAGAGTTTAGAGCGCTGCTTTTGCAGGCTTCCCTGGTCAGCAAAGTCTTTGTTTAGGGTGTTTTTCTTGGCAGGCTTGCGGCTTTGTATGATAAGGCTGTAGCATACCGGACTGAGCGGTGTTTGCCTTTTGCGCTTGTTTCTTGATCCCAAGTCTTCAGACACGTTTTCGTAAATCGAGGCCTCTACTTGTTGCCAAGTACCAGCCCTCTTTTTTTTAATTGTCGTTCTGCTGGTGTGGGGATTGCTGCCGCGCTTTTGGAGTATTTTTGGGGTGCTTCAGTTGTTAATGGAAGGCCAATGATTGCTGCCATCTTTTTTTTGGCCAGCCGCACTCCAGGAGCTTTATTTTGATATTGACCCTTGCTTCGTTCAGACATGTTATTATACGAACGAACAAACCGACAAACAAGCAAACAAGCAAACATAGACTACATAGATAATTCTGCGAAGGACAGATATGCACATGGCTGAATAAACGACCAAGCCAGTTCTAGCTGTATCCAAGTCTACCCTAAGACCCAAAATCTAGAGTCTGAACGTGGCCTCCATACGCAGCAAGCAGAATCACAGTTTATGTTATTTTTTGGGTATGCTTTTTAGATGCTAAGGCTTCAGGATTCGGGGCTTAGACTCCTCCGTGAGGTTCCGCTGTCTGAACGAGTCGCTCTACACCATGACGGGTCAGGACGCACTGTTCCTCGCTCAAAAAAAACCGTAACGAGGTGACTTAAATCCAAAGCCTGAAAGAAAACAGGCTAGCTGGAAGGCTCGGGATTAGGCTGTTATTTGAAGGTTTAGGGTTTCGGGGTTTAGGGTTTAGGGGAGAACCGGGCTGCTGGACAACGAGGCCTGCTGCAAAAAGGGGATTATTGGAGTTCGGAATGGACCGACATCCCAAATCGCAGAAGCTTCGACACTGCTGAGGAAGATGTTCACGAATGACCCATCTTTGGCAGAGGCCTACCATGAGGTGGGATGTGCAGAAATTAGAAATCCCCAAGCCCCGAGATCCACATCACAAAGTTTCATTTCAGGGAATCGCAGAAACCGCTCATGTATATAGGCTTACGCATTGAATCCTATGCAGGCGACCGTTGCTGTGTCCTTGGTTTGTGTGCTAGTAGTGGTTTAAGCCTTCGTGCTGATGTGGAAGTTTCCGAAAATAGGGGACCCTAATCTAGTACCCTGAATGGTAGGATCCTTATTATAAGGACTCCCAAATAAGGTACCCTAGTTTTCGGAAACTCGCATGTGGGTCAGGGCAGGGTTCCTTTACTCATCTCGTCTGTGCGACGGCCCGATGGACTGTCCTAGAACGTCCTAGAAACAAAGCTATCTACTTAAACCCTGAACCATCGATTGTCCGAGTCCGATCACTGAAACCTTTAACCGGAAATCCTCTTGTGTAACCCTGCCATGCAGGCTTGTCGTTGCGAAGTAGGAGGCAACAAATCCTAAAAGCACCTGAACTTCGATGCTCTGTACTCTTAACACAAGTAATTAATTACTTGAGCTTCCCTAAACCCTAAGCCCTAAAACCTTAAACCTTAGAGTTTAGGTTTAGGGTCTCTGAATCCCTGAAATCCCTCCCCCACCCCCCGCACCCCAGACCTCAGCTCCAATCCTTACCGCAGCAGCCCAAAACCCTCAAAGACTCTGAGCTGCACTGGGTTGTGCTTTGGGATAGTTTTTAATTCCCCTTATTTCCTTATAAAGGGAACCTATCCATAAATAATTTCCAAAGGGTTTAAAGCACAACCCAGTGCAGCAAATGACCTAAGAACGAAATCCCGTCCAAACTGACGAAATCCAGCCTCTCACAGTCCGTCCGACCCCACAAGGTCCCACAAAATCGAGCGCCCAAATCTCGAATCAATTTCCACGGTTCAAGAAGTTTAGGGTATGACAGTTTGTGGGTTGCGAGTTTAGAGTTTAGGTTTCAGGATGCAGGGCTTAGAGCTTAGGATTCAAGGTTCAGTTTTTTCGGGGTTAGGGTTTAGGCTTTAGGGCTTATAGTTAGAGTGCCGCCCCCCATTGTCAGACCGTCATGAAACTCCTTGCCTTTCTTATCATAGTGCGAGTGTCACACATCCATGCATGCCTACCTGCATCCATAGATAAGTAGCACATCATACACATGCATACATAAAGATAAAAGCAAATCCCGAAACGGATTGTTGCGAGGCTCGAAACCCAAAACCGTTCTCGATTTAGTTAGTGTAGGCGCCGAAGTGATTACCAATACTATTGTGGTGGATTCCCTTCTTTATTTATAGTACTAATGAACCCCAAAACCTTATTCTAATCATTAAGGCCCCCACCTGTAGTCTCCATTGTAGTTCCTTTTTTTTGGTTTAACCGATTATACATAAAGGATCCTATAAGGTAATCCCAAAAAAGGAACTACAATGGAGACTATAGGTAGAGTACCCTCTTTATTGTAGTTCGACGGCCATTTGATGTAATCCTATACCCTAAACCCTAAACCCTGTGAGAATCGACATTATTCAACTTTTCACACCGACTCCGCACCTAAGAACCTCGTCTGGCTGTGTCCGAGTTGTGAGAGCGTAAACCCTAAACCCTACAGATCGCTCCAAAGGAGCCCTACTTATAAGTACCCATGAACCTCTGGGTACCCTCTTTGTTGTAGTTCGACGGCCATTTGAGCTCAGGGCTTCCGCGCCCAAGCAGCCAAGTGGCCGCACAACCCACTGGACGGGGTAATCAGTGCCTGGGCATCAAAGGGTTTCTCCAAAAAGGAGCTCAAAATAAAAGTGTTTGGGGTTGTAGGGTTTGGGGATTTAGGGTTTAGGGGTCTAGGGCCTGCAACCGGGCTTGACGTTTCGAATGCCTGGGAGAGAGAGAGAGAGAGAGAGAGAGAGAGAGAGAGAGAGAGAGAGAGAGAGGGGTCTAGGGGCTTCGAGTGCCTGTGAGGGAGAGAGGGAGAGAGAGAGAGAGAGAGAGAGAGAGAGAGACAGAGAGAGAGAGAGAGGGGGGTGTAGTACACGGTGTAGGGTTAGGCGTTTAGAGTACAGGGCTTGGGGTTTAGGCTCATGCTATTTCCCAGGAATGTCGGGGCGTGTTACCAATCTGGGGTTCGGAGTAGGATCATGTCGATGAAGCTTTGGCGAGTGCTTTTGTTGCACGGTTTTCTGCTTTGTTTGTTTTTGTCATTTCCGCTTCTACACCTGCACGTGTCTATACAGCATCTATGTCAACGTATGTATAAGGAATGAATAAATTAGTATATATGCATACACATACCTATATGTACACTACTGCATGCTTATACAAGATCATACACACGTGTGTAAGTATATGTAGGCATGTGCGTGGATAGGTGTTCATGGCGCTACGTATGTATGTACGTGCGTGTGTACCTATGCACCTGTGTACGTATGTGTGTATTTGTGGCATGCATGCACGCATTTATGTATGCATGCAGCTGAAAGTATGTATGTATACATATGCATGGTATGCATGCTTTCGTGGATGGATGGATGGATGGATGGATGGATGGATGGATGGATAGATGGATGGATGGATGGATGGATGGATGGGTGGATGTATATACGTATGTACCTACGTGCGCAGCCTCACAATGGAGCAGTGTCTAGGGTTGCGGGCCGTTGCGGGAGAAGGTTTTCCATCTTACTGGCGAAGGGGGGGATCAGAGGGTTTGCAGATTTCCATGCAAGGCTTAGGGCTCCGCGGGCTGCGCAAAGACATTGACTTGGTTCGAATTCCTTGCTTGGACGGGTGGGTACAATGCAAGGTGTGCACGATGACGCACCCTGTCATCTTGTAGGTTTTACATCAGCCCGAACGTCCAGTTACATCAAACAAGGTCATGAAGCCTATGAGAGGTTTATGCTTTGGGGCTGCAAGAAACAAGCCCAGCCAAGGTTGGCTGAGGAAGGAGGCCATCTTCGTGATGTCGGGGTTCTGGGAGAGTCATAGGGGATTCAAAGTGGGCTGTAAATCTCGGTTGCTTGAGTTGGATCCGATTGTCCCAGGCTTTTGGTTTTACAAGGATTTTGAAGCTGCCTGCAACCAACTCCGTGCTTGTGCCGATTCTATAATGACATATGGGTGGTTGTCAAAATCGGGGTCTTTTTTTGGGTCCGTAATATAGTACGGCACCTAACATTTAGGGTACCCAAAAAGGGGCCCTAATTTCGACAACCACCCTTATATCTTCGTCTATGTGTTTGTCGTGGTATGTATCTTACCTTTGGTAAGTAGGGGATGGAGGAATGAGCTACATTTATAACTACTATTACTACCATTCTCCCATTCCCTACTAACAAAAGGTCAACCCTAAACCCCTAAACCCTAAACCCCATCGATCCCTTAAAGGATCCCTTTAAAGGAACCTATTACTACCATGCCCCCATTCCCTACTAAACAAAGGTAAGTTTAAGATATTAAGGTTCCTAATTTTGAACCCTACTAAGGCCGTGCTATAGATCCCTTTAAGGATCCCTTTAACTTTAAGGAACCCTACCATTCTCCCATTCCCTACTAACAAAAGCTAAGGTATCAAAGCCATGGTTTTTCTGGCTGCTGTGCTGTCCGTGCCGATCCAGGGTTTAGGGGTTTAGGGTTTAGGGTATAGTAAACCCCTTAATGTTGGAAACTGGATTAAGGGCAAATAGTGCTGGGATTCTTTCTACATTACTCTTAAGGATTGAGGCTATTGGGTTTCCAACTTTTGGGCTTCTCCTGTACACAGAGATGCTGGCTGTCAACATTACCATTTTCACTTCCAATGCCAGTCACGTCCCACCACGACAGCGAAAACTCCAATCTCTTCTGCCGCGACCACGCCGACCACGATAAGTACTATAGCACATTCTGCCGTTGCTGCGGTGTTACTCGCTGCTATCATCCTCCTGTGCCAGTCCTTGCATGACCTTTGCTCATTTTAGCATTTGTTCTGCGTATTCTCGTTAGGTGCGCGGGCATTATTTCGATGTGAGTGCGATCATTAGAGGGAACATGCTGCTAGTAGAATTGTCACTATTTCTGCTGGCCGGCAAATCCGAGCTCTAAAGCAGGTGCCCAAGGAGGCTGTGATCGGCGCCTCCCGGCTGATGTTCATGTCGGAGTACGAACCTGATCGATACTTTGTTCCGTTGCTGGCAGCTTAAGTAAGTATGTTCCCAACCACAGCATCTGCTTTGAAAGCTAAACAGACAGAGGCAGAGCTTCAATGCATCCTCTTAAGCTTCGTTGTTCAGGACTTTGGCTGCGGCGACGCACGGCTCGCGCTAGAGCTGAGCAAGCGGAAGGCTACTATCGGGGCCGTAATAACTGCCTATAACTACTATCTTGGGGAGTTCCTTATTATGATTCTAGCACAATGTATCCCCCGAACCGTAATTACTCTAATTATTTAGGCACCTACGTTAGCATGACTTTCATGGCCTCGATAGGAACTGCTCTATCTAGCGCGGCCGACCCCAGTGACCCTGAATTCCTAAGCCATGGCAAAACCCATCATGGCCCCCAGCCTACCAACTTTCTTTAGTAATATAACGGCCTAAACAATTAACAATATTATTCCTAGGGTTCCTTCATACAACTATAGCATAATGGGCACCAAAACCCCATTCTAATTATGAAGGCCCCTACATTATGGGACTGCTTGGTATGCATTCCCGAGGCTCCCGCATATTGGGGTGTGTGTCATGGAGCATACGACTTAAGACTTAGGATCTCACAAAGCAGCTTTACGGGTTTGAAGCCCAGGGTTTTTGTCTCTGTTCGGCCCATGTAAAAACTTGCCAGCTCAACTTATGAGTAGTGGCCGCAAGAACGACGTGCTGGAGACTAAAACGAAGAGATAGGGATGCATCCTAGAAATAGTATCCCTTTGAGTGGTCCTTGCAACATCGTGCAACCGAGGGTTGTGACAGCAAGACGGGTCGTGTTTTTTCGCATGGGAGGTTCATTCCTTCGACCTCGTCAAGATCAACGAGAGGTGCTACCCTGCAATTCTGCAATTCTACAGACTCTCTTCAAATCAGCTCCGCAGCCAACTGGCTACGGCCATCCTAAACTCAACCCTAAACCCTGAACCCCTAAACCCTAACCCCTAAACCCTAAACCACTAAAGCGTGGCAGGGTTACAGCCTGCAACCTGGCTCACGTGCCGCTGTCCAGAGCGTCGCTGGACGTGGCCATCTTTTGCCTGGCACTGATGCTTAGGGGCACTTAGAAAGGATTTTTAATTTTTTGTTCTTCTAATCCCTAAGAAACAGCTAAAATGATAATTTGTGCTAGGGTTCTAAGTTCAGTATAGGATGGGCACAGATTGGATCAAGTTCGTGGAAGAGGCCAGGCAGTCGAGTAGGACTCAGTAGCCTTCTGATGCGCTGTTCAAAGGGGAAAAGGAGGGACCCTTCATGGGGACCCCTACCCTATAATGTCATGTTCGTGGAAGAGGTCAGGCAGTCGAGTAGGACCTGTAGCGATCTGATGTGTTGTGCTTTGCCTGAGCCACATGGGTGGTTGTCAAAATTATGGTCCCTGTTGGGGTCCCTATTATGATACGGCACCTATTATTTAGGGTACCCAAAAAGGGACCTTAATTTTGACAACCAGCCACATACCATAGCCTTGGACTTCCGAATCCGCATTGGTTGAAAGAGTCAACAGCTCGAAAAGCTTTCAACATGTGTGGTGGTGGTTGTAGTAGCAGTAGCAGTGGTGGCAAAGAAGCAATCTTCTATCATCCGAAATCCCCAACCCAGACATTGTCCTTTTTGGCTTAGTAGCTGAGCAGGTGACCTTTAACCTTTTGGGGCTTATATAATCCTACAACAATTCCACCCTACACCCTACCTTTTGTGAGCCAGGGTATTCAGCCCCTCAGTTACATAATTGGTGAACTTCTTGTCTCGGCAGGCACACCGCTGTTTGAAGCCGGGAGGTCTGCCGGCTTCGAAATCGAGACTGGCTGGGCTTGTGGGAGAAGGGAAGTTTAGGTGTCTTATCTGGGCTTCGGGGTTTGCTGATTTGGAGCTTTTGATATGCGGGCTTATGTTTTAGAGGTTAGGATTCGAGTTCCAGGCTTTTTCTGTCCGCCAGTGTGTGCTCGGCAGTGTGCTTGGCAGGATACGTGAGTTTCAGGTCTCAGGCAAGCTTGCGGGTGTTCCACCAACGCCTTAAACCAAATCCTAGGCTGCCATATAGAAACATACGAACATATATAAGGCACGTGTATAAATAATGCTGGGGCAGGTAGATCCTGAGGTGTTTGTTTGCAGCTAGAGACCTCCCCAGCACCGTCGTGCCTAGGGCCTACGGTTGAAGCTGGGGAGTCATGTCCACCATGCAAGCACTCCTGTGTGTAAGCTCAGACGCTACATAACCCGAAAGGTCTCTGCCACATTGTGGAGGTGGAGTCCAGATTCGCCGATGTGCAAGCTGTCGTCAGGAGTGGGGCTGCGAAAGCAGAATACTGTGCAGCTTGCAAGCCATGTTCGCTACAAGTGGGCTTTAAGTCTGTGATGGTGAGATGCCGGCTTTGACACCTCGTTTTGGATTTGCGAAGACTTTGTAAGTCTTGCATGTCACAGTGCTTAGGGTGGAGTAAGTTCGAAAGCATGCAGCTCTGGGACCGAACGCAGCTAAGCAAGTCCCCCACATCGTGTGGGAATAGACGCGATTCATGGCCATAAACCCATGACGGCGGTCCCCTTTCGGGTTCCCTGGAATTTCTACCCAGCCTTTGCCCTGTGTGTTGTTTTTTTGTTTTTTTGCATATGAGGACGATAGAGGCAGTGGGCTTCCAGCGCCTCTTCGTGACTCCTGGGAGTGGCTTGGCTGGGTTGTCTTGTCACCCTGTAGCTATTCTGACCAATGCTGCACTGATACTACAACTTGCTACTGCTACTACTACTACTACTACTACTACTACTACTACTACTACTACTACTCCTGCTGCTGCTACTGCTACTGCTGCTGATGCTGCTCCTACTCCTCCTCGTCCTCCTTCTACTCCCACTCCTACTCCTACTCCTACTCCTACTCCTACTCCTACTCCTACTCCTACTCCTACTCCTGCTGCTGCTGTTGCTGCCGTACCTTAAGCCCTACACCATGCCCCAAACCACACCCTAAAACCCCACACCTTACCTTACACCCTGCTAAGCCGTGCAAAGTCTGAACTCCAGGCTTCTTCGTGGAGCTGCGCTTCAAGCGCAGCAAGAGCGAGGCTCTCCAGGGAGCTGCGGTTTTCAGTGGACCCAGAATTTTTGCGGCGTTTTGGGCCTTGCTCTACAGCGCTTCGGGCATCGGATTTAGGGGATGAGGGTTTTAGGGTGCGACAATTACACATGACGGTTTAGGGTCCAGGATTTGGTGTGGATCGCGGCTTGGGGCTTCCTAGGGTGTAGAGTTTGGGATCAGTCCCTGAACCCCAAACCCCAATGATTAGATGTGGTTTCAGGGCATGTTTCTAAAGTCTTAACCAGAGCAAGAAGTCCTGAGGAACAGTATTCCCGTATGGGAGATTCCAAAAATTGGGGGACCTTAATATAATACCCTAAATAATAGGATCCTTATTATAAGGACCCCAAAATAAGGTGCCCCCAATTTTCGGAAACTGCTAGTGCCCTGACCTGCCGTGTGCGGGCGTCGGAGAGGGTTGGATTTTTTTTTTCGGAAACTCCCGTATGAAGATTACGAAGTCTTGGGGATCAGAGACCCTGTAGCCTCTGACGGTCTGACTAGTAAGTAGACTTATAAGTACTCTAAAAGGGACCCTAATTGGGGGTTATGGTACTTATAAGTCCTTAAAACAACAAGTTACTAAGTCCCCCGACCCTCCAAGTAGACCCCTAAGCCCAAAGCCCTTGTTGAGAGGATCTGGGACTTGCTTCTGTTTAGGCTGCTGAGTTTTCTGAATGAAGGTATCCTTGAGAGTTTCGATTTCAGGGTTTAGGGCTGTTTAGGGCTTCGGTTTTTTGTAGGTGTTTCGGGCAGTTTAGGGTTGGTACACTGTATCGGGTGTCGCGCATCTTATACAAAGCGTGGCAAGAAGCAAGTGGGTGGTGCATATCGACAGTTACTTTGAGCAGGAGCCCACGGCGGGATCTTCACGCAAGAAGGTCGGCAAGAAGCGCAAGAAGGATGTGGACGGAGGTGCTTGATTCCCAGATCCGGGTTTAGGGGCGGAAGAGCGGCAAACTACCAGGCGTCCTTGCAAGCAAGCCTGCAGCAAAAGGGGCGGGAGGCTTCACTGGTCCAGGTGACTGACAGAAGCCGTGGCCACACTGTGTTGAGTATAATTACGTATAGTCTCCAGGGCCAGTTGAGTGCTTACAGCCTGCAATGTCACCACCGTACCGATGTCATGTCGGCGTTCCGGTCGAACAATCACACCCACTGACTGACCACAAGAGGCGCTGCTGATGCTCAGGAAGTCGGTGTTCAGGTCGGCCAATCACACGCCTTGGCCACAAGAGTGGCTGCTGATGCTCATGGTGTCGAGGTTCAGTTCGGCTTATCATAGCCATTGATCGCAAGAGGGGCTTCTGGCGACATTGTCCACAACAGGAGCTGATGATACTCATGATGTCGGCCTTCAGGTCGAACAACCACATGCGCTGCCCGCAACTGGGGCTGCTCATGCTTATGATGTCGATGTTCAGGACTGGCAAGCGCATGCATTCGCCACAAGAGGGGCCGCTGATGCTCATAATGCCCATATGCAGGAATGGAAACCACAACCATCGGCCCATTTGGGTCGGCCAAACACACTATCTATCATACCCATTGGCCCTTAAGCCCTTAAGGAGTAAGCAGGGGCTGCTGATGCTCATGATGTCGGCGTTCAGGTCAGGCAATCACACCCCTTGACAGCAAGAGGGGCTACTGATGCGCATGATGTCGGCGTCCAGGATTGGCGATCGCAGCGATTAGCCACCAAACGGGCGGCTGGCGCTCACGATGTCGGCGTTCAGGTCGGGCAGTCTGATCCAATGGCTGCAAGAAGGGCTGCTGACGCTCAAGGTGTCGACGTTCAGGTCGGGCAATCAGACCCATCAAGTGGGGCAGCTGCTTCCCATGATGTCGGCGTTCAGGCAGTACGATCACAACCATTGGCGACAGGAGGGGCTGCTGATGCTCTATGTCGACGTTCAGGTGGGGCAATCAAATTCATTAGCCCTCAACAAGGGCTGCTAATGCTCATGATGTCGGCGTTCAGGATTGGCAATCGCACCCATTGGCCTCCAAGAAGGGCGGCCGATGGTGATGATGTCGGCATTCAATTCGGGCAGTTTGTTCCATGGCCAGAAGTTGACAAGAGGGTCTGCTGATGCTCATGACATCCGCCTTCAGGTCGGGCAGTTTGATCCATTGGCTGCAAGAAGGGCTGCTGACGCTCAAGATGTCGACGTTCAGGTCGGGCAATCAGACCCATCAAGTGGGGCAGCTGCTTCCCATGATGTCGGCTTTCAGGCTGTACGATCACAACCATTGGCGACAGGAGGGGCAGCTGATGCTCTATGTAGACGTTCAGGTGGGGCAATCAAATTCATTAGCCCTCAACAAGGGCTGCTAATGCTCATGATGTCGGCATTCAGGGAAGGGCGGCCGATGGTGATGATGTCGGCATTCAATTCGGGCAGTTTGTTCCATGGCCAGAAGTTGACAAGATGGTCTGCTGATGCTCATGACGTCCGCCTTCAGGTGGGGCTTTCGCAGCCATTGGGCACAACAGGGGCTGCTGACAATGCTCATGATGTCGGCGTTGAGGGCTGCTGATGCTCATGATGCCGGCGTTCAGGTCGGGCAGTTTGATCCATTGGCTGCAAGAAGGGCTGCTGACGCTCAAGATGTCGACGTTCAGGTCGGGCAATCAGACCCATCAAGTGGGGCAGCTGCTTCCCATGATGTCGGCGTTCAGGCCGTACGATCACAACCATTGGCGACAGGAGGGGCTGCTGATGCTCTATGTCGACGTTCAGGTGGGGCAATCAGATTCGTTAGCCCTCAACAAGGGCTGCTAATGCTCATGATGTCGGCGTTCAGGATTGGCAATCGCACCCATTGGCCTCCAAGAAGGGCGGCCGATGGTGATGATGTCGGCATTCAATTCACGCAGATTGTTCCATGGCCAGAAGTTGACAAGATGGTCTGCTGATGCTCATGACATCCGCCTTCAGGATCCATTGGCTGCAAGAGGGGCTGCTGGTGCTTATGATGTCGCCACTCAGTTCGGGCAATCGCAGCTTTTGGCCACAACAGGGGCTGCTGATGCTCATGATGTCGGGATTGAGGTGGGGCAATCACACCCATTCACCACAAGAGGGGCGGCCGGAACTCCAGATGTCGGTGTCCAGCTCGAGCAACCAAGCCTATTGGCCAGAGGAGCAGACTAAGTAGCTTATGGCAGTCCGACATGCATCCACGTGCAAAGTATTACAAGCACGAGTGTCGCTGTCCTGGTCAGGTGCGCTTTTGGGGGCCTGCACCTATCGGAAGCGCTGAAAAAATGCCTGGGAGCAGCTACGCTTCTGTCTAGTTTACTTCATCAATGAGACTTCGAGCTTACACTGGCTTACACCCTGATCTTTGAATCGTCGTGAAAGACGATAGCATTTCTGACATGTGTGCAGCTTAAACCCCACAATGTCCAAAGCTTTGGATCCGTCACCTGCCCTCAGCCTGCCCTGGACTCTCAATCAAGGCGCTAGGACGATGTGTTCCTGCTGAACCCAAATCGTGAACTGCAAGCCAGCAAAAACCTCAAACCCTAAGCTCGAAAAGCCTTGAAACCTCTGCGAGCCTTTTTAAAACCCAAGAAACCGTGAGTGACAAACCTTGCATAGACATTAAGTTAAGTGACCCTTTATGGCTTCTATACAGTTTCTATGAGGGTAAACCTTCAGGCTTGTCCGAGTGTGAGTGTCAAAAAAACGTAGAACAGCAGAGAGAGGGAAGCCATGCCATGCTTCGAGTTCACTGCACGCCGGCCTTGGGCCGAGAGGCCTTAGCCCTTTCTTTGGGCGCAGATCCCAGGGTTCAGGCTTTTGGGATGTATAGTAGAAACGAGTGCGCAAAAAAGGTGTTTAGGGGTTTAGGGTTTTGTTCATCAGCTTTGCACTTTCCGGCGCGTTCGCGTTCACCTCCAAGCCGCTAGCTCAAATCACCTACAGCCGTTTGACAGAGTAGCATTGGTACGCTGCAATGACTATGACCCACGCAGTGCTGGCCTTCTCAATGCTGTGTGCTCCTCTTGTTACACCTGCCACAGCGTGCAGCATGGGAGACGGCAGTGCTTGCAACCTTGGCGTCACAGATGGCACGACTCTGATCCAGACGCGGGAGGCAGGCAAGGCCATGGATTTCCACCAGGATAGCCAGGCTTCCGAAACGGAAAGAGCAAGAGAAGTGGCCTCACTTCCAGGCTCTGCCTGGACAGCTCAGGAAATCGCGACGGTGAAGAGGAAACTTCGGAGGATGATGAAAAATCCCAGTAAAGCCATCTCAGAGGCGAACATCCAGGTCGAAAAGGCGAATCGCTATGAGCCGAATCCTGCCAAGGTCGTGCGTCTTGTTTTCCATGACTGCATGAAGTATACAGATGGTACTGGGGGCTGCGATGGCTGTCTGGATTGGCAGGGAGTCGGTCGTCGCTCGGAGCTGGCTGACGACGGCCACAACAACGGACTTTACGTTGTCGCTGAGGCGCTCGAGCACATCTACACCAGAACAGACTACCCGAGCGGCGCTCCTGTCCTCGATCACTCCTTGAAAAGTACCAATAAGTCTCGGGCAGATCTGTGGGCCCTCGCAGGTACTGTGGCCGTGCAGGTGGCCATGGAGCTGAACAACAAGGTTTGTGACGCTCCAAGCAGGGGTGCTGAGGGTCAATACCATCCCCGCTGGGGCCAATCAGATTGCAAGGTCGCAGCGCCCCGGAAAATCATCTTCAAGACAGGCCGCCGAGATTGTTCCGGGCATCCTTTTGAAGAGGCCTTCGAGCCTGCTTTGCAAGGAATCGAGAGGAGGTCCTACATGACGAACAAGCGTGAAGCTCACCCAGATCCACATGCGGACGGCTGGAAGACCTTGGCATACTTCAAGAACAACTTTGGTTTCAACAGACGAGAAGTCGTAGCAATCATGGGTGCCCACACCATAGGAACTTTTCACGTAGAAGTTTCCGGCTTCAAGTATAACTGGAAATTCTCCCACAAGATCTTCAACAATGGCTACTACCGGCTCCTTACACTGAAGCGTGACTGGTCCCAGACTGGCATAGTCGTCAACGGCCAGAGGCTCAACTACAAAGACATCAATGGCGAGCATCCTCCTGGAGTATGGGCTGCCGAGGAGTGGCGTGAACTGCCCAATGGTGGCCCATTCCAAGTAGTCAAAAAGAAGGTCGCCTGCACTCCTTGCGATGCCCCTCCTGGCCATGCCTGGTGGGACAAGTGGTCAGTGCCTCGTTTCGGTAGGCCTGTCATGAACCACACTTTCTGCTGCACAAACCTGAAGGAGGGCCATTTCTGCAACCCTCAATGCGTGCATGAGTTCGATGATGAAGGCATTCATGAAACTATGCTGCCCAGCGACCTCAGCATGCACAGAAAGCTTTTTCAAAACGATGACGGGGTGCCGCAAGGCTGTGGACGGTGGAACGGGAAATGGAAGGGATCCGTGGACTGTGGCGACGCATACTTCGTTTTGGCAGATGTTGTTGAAGAGTTTGCAAACAACCAGACTTCCTGGCTGGCGGAGTTCTTCGACGTATACGAGAAGATGCTGTCCAATGGCTACGCTGCTGATGAGCTCACTGGTGTAAGGGCTGCGGCGCTCTAGCTCTCTTTCTGGACCCCTGAGGTATGAGAGATGTACCCTGCAGCATAAAGGGGACCCTTTTTTTCGAGCTCCACGTTTCGCCAAAGGAGCGGGACAGTCTCAAGAAATTCTGACCGGTCGTGGACAGTCGCCGTATTAGGTTGAAGAGCCGCGCCGGCCCTGCACTCTCAGAGTTTGCTTAAGGGCCCAGGGGACTTAGTAAGTAGGTTATAAGTAGAGTTATAATTATAAGTACCCTAAATGTACCCCAATATTATAACCCAACTTATAACCGACTAACTAAGTCCCCTGGTCCTCTAAGTGGGTGCAGATTTGACACAATCTTGAAGGGCCGCGGATAGTCGCCGTAGTAGGCTGAAGAGCCGCGCGAGCCGTGCACCGTGCATGCGCGGAAAACCCTGTACAGATTTGACACAGCTTTGCACGGATGCTGAAAGTCTTGCCAAAACTTGTGCACTCGCGCCTGCAAGCGTATGAGCTAACATTGGGCAGTGGATTTGGGGACTGGGTCCAACTGTGGGCCGTGGCTGGGTATCCGAAGAAAACTCTGCAGGGTATTAAGAAGATTCAATATCTCCCAAAGGTGCCCGAATTTAGGCATGATGTCGGAGTCAGGTCTGATCCATTGGCCGCGAGTCAAGAGGGTTTGCTGATGCTCATGAAGACGGGTTCAGGTCGGGCAATCACACCCATTGGCCGACAAGAGGGGCTGCTGATGGTCATGATGTCGGCACTCACTTCAGGCAATCACACCCATTGGCTTTCAACAGGGGCTGCTGACGCTCATGATGTCGCGTTCAGGTCGGGCAAGCACACCCATTGGGGCTACTGATGCCAATGATGTCGGCACTCATGTCAAGCAAACACACCCATTGGCTGCAAGAGGGGCTGCTGATGCGCATGATGTCGGCAATCAGGTCGGGCAATCACAGCCCATGGGCCTTCAAGAGTGGCTGCTGATGCTCATGATGTCGGCGTGCAGGTCGGGCAATCACACCCATTGGCAACGAGAGGTTGATGTCGGCAGTCATGTCGGGCAATCACACCCATTGGCCAAGAGGGGCTGCTGATGCGCATGATGTTGGCACTCATGTCGGGCAGTTTGCTCCATTGGCCTTCAAGAGGGGCTGCTGATGCTCATGATGTCGGCGCTCAGGTCGGGCAAACACACCCGTTGACAGCAAGAGGGGCTTCTGATGCACATGATGTCGGCAATCAGGTCGGGCAATCACACCCAGTGGCCTTCAAGAGGGGCTGCTGATGCTCATGATGTCGGCGTTGGTCGGGCAGTCACACCCATTGGGGGTACTGATGCGCATGATGTCGGCAATCAGGTCGGGCAATCACACCCATGGGCCTTCAACCGTGGCTGCTGACGCTCATGATGTCGGCGTTCAAGTCGGGCAAGGACACCCATTGACAGCAAGAGGGGCTGCTGATGCGCATGATGTCGGCAATCAGGTCGGGCAATCACACCCATTGGCCTTCAAGAGGGGCTGCTGATGCTCATGATGTCGGCGTTTAGGTCAGGCAGTCACACCCATTGGGGGTACTGATGCGCATGATGTCGGCACTCATGTCGGGCAATCACACCCATGAGCCTTCACGAGGGGCTGCTGATGCTCATGATGTCGGCGTTCAGGTAGGGCAATCGCGCCCATCGGCCTTCAAGAGTGGGTGCTGATGCTCATGATGTCGGCGTTCAGGTCAGGCAATCACACCCCTTGACAGCAAGAGGGGCTCCTGATGCGCATGATGTCGGCAATCAGGTCGGGCAATCACACCCATGGGCCTTCAAGAGGGGCTGCTGATGCTCATGATGTCGGTGTTCAGGTCGGGCAATCACACCCATGGGGCCACTGATGCGCATGATGTCGGGCAATCATGGGCAATCACACCCACGGGCCTTCAAGAGTGGCTGCTGACGCTCATGATGTCGGCGTTCAAGTCGGGCAATGACACCCATTGACAGCAAGAGCTGATGCGCATGATGTCGGCACTCATGTTGGGCAATCACACCCATGGGCCTTCAAGAGGGGCTGCTGATACGCGTGACGTCGGCGTTCCGGTCGGGCAGTCTGGTCCATTGGCAACAAGACGGGCCACTGATGCGCATGATGTCGGCACTCATGTCGGGCAGTTTGATCCATTGGCCTTCAAAAGGGGCTGCTGATGCTCATGATGTCGGCGATCAGGTCGGGCTGATGCGCATGATGTCGGCACTCATGTCGGGCAATGCCACCCCAAGAGGGGCTGCTGATGCTCATGATGTCGGCATTCAGGTCGGGCAATCACCCATTGGCTTTCAAGAGGGGTTGCTATGCTCATGATGTCGGCGCTCGGCTCGGGCAACCACACCCATTGGCCCATTGGCCGTCAAGAGGGGCTGCTGATCCTCATGATGTCGGCGTTCAGGTCCATTGGCTGCAAGAGGGGCTGCTGAAGCTGAGGAGGTTGACGCTCAGGTCGGGAAATCGCAGCTTTGTGCTGCAAGAGGGGCTGCTGATGTTCATTCAGTCGCCATTCAGGTCGGGCAATCTCACCCATTGATAATTAAGCCACAAGACGGGATACTGATGAACAAGATATCGGCACTCATGTTGGGCAATCGCATTTTTTTGCCACAAGAGGGGCTGCTGATGCTGATGATGTCGGCGTTCAGGTCGGGCAGTGTGATCCATTGGCTGCAAGAGGGGCTGCTGATGCTCACACCCATTGGCCCTCAACAGGGGCTGCTGATGGTGATGATGTCGGCGTTCAGGTCGGGGAGTCTGATCCCTTGGCTGAAAGACGGGTTGCTGATGCTCATGATATCGGCACTCATGCTGTGCAATCGCAGCTTTTTGCCACAAGAGGGGCTGCTGATGCTAATGATGCCGCCATTTAGGTCGGGCAATCGCACCTATTGGCCACAAGAGGGGCCACTACTGCACAAGATATCGGCACTCATGTTGGGCAGTCGCACCCGTTGGGCCTCAAGAGGGGCTGCTGATGCTTATGGCATTCAGGTCGGCCAATCACGCCCATTCACCACAAGAGGGGCGGCTGCTACTCAAGATGTCGGTGTTCAGCTCGAGCAATCACGCCTATGGGTCACAGGAACAGACTAAGTAGCTTATGGCAATCTGACACACGTTCACGTACAAAGTATTACGCGCACGAGTTTCGCTGTCCTGGTCAGGTGCGCTGCTGGGGGCCTGCACCTATCGGAAGCGCTGAGAAAATGCCTCGGCGCAGCTGCGCTTCTGTCGAGTTTACTGCATGAGACTTCGAGCTTACACTGGCTTACACGCTGATCTTTGAATCTTCGTGAAAGACGATAGCATTTCTGACATTTGTGCTTTGCATCCGTCACCTGCCCTGGACTCTCAACCAAGGGGCTAGGACGATGTGTTCCTGCTGAACCCAAATAGTGTAATTGCAAGCCAGCATAAACGCCGAAACGCTAAGCTCGAAAAGCTTTGAAACCTCTGCAAGCCTCCACTAAAACCCAAGAAACCCTGCGTGACAAACCCTGTATAGACCCCTTGAAGTCTTCGATAAGATTTCTATGAGGGTAAACCCTAGCCCTAAATGTAAGAAAGGCAGAGAGAGGGAAGCCATGCCATGCTTCGAGTTCACTGCACGCCGGCCTTGGGCCGAGAGGCCTTCGCCTCTTGCAAGGATTTAAGACTTGGGTGTTAGGGTTTAGGGTGTTAGGGTCAAGGGTTTAGGGTTTGCTGGCCGGCACCTCAGCCCGTGCTGAAAAAGGGTTTAAGGTTTATTGGGCTTGAGGTATGTATTCCTCTAACCAGCGGACCCTGGTGAACACATGCTGGAACACCCCATCATGCATTGCATGGTTCGCGTTCTGTAATATTTGTTGTCGAGGTGATTATGTATCTTATGTTTCGGTGCGTCGGATTCGGTATGATTGCCAGAAGTTTGTGCCTTCTGTATTGCTGTTCAGGGGGGTTCGAAACACATATGACAAACTTGTTAAACGTGGGAGCGTGAGAAAATGATGGAGACTCGATAGGGCGCCCTATTGCCGAATACTTGTAGTAGAATCCTTATTCTCATAGCCTCTATAATAATATTGTTAAGCGCATTCTACATCCCCCAAAAATCCTCATACTCAAATTCAAACTCTTTAAACCCTCACCCTAAACCCTACCTGAAGCAAAAAATGCCCTAAGCCTCTCAAGGAGCGCCTTTTTCACGCCCAGCCCCAAAGCCTCGGCCCCCGTTCGCTGTTTAGGGTTAAGTTTTTAGGGTTTAGAGATTAGGATTTAGAGTTTCGGGTTTAGAGTTTAGGGATTAGAGTTTAGAGTTTAGGGTTAAGTGTTTAGGGTCTATATAGGGATGTTGATGTTTTGCCATGCATCTGCCCCTGCATCGTAGGTTCGTACTAGCCAGGCGGGAGGCGAGGTATTCCCTTAGGATCCCTTAAAGGAGCCTTAGGTATTCCCTTAAAATCCCTTTAACGGAGCCTTAAGTATTCCCTTAAGATCCTTTAAAGGAGCTTTAGGTATTCCCTTAGGATCCTTTAAAGGAGCCTTAGGTATTCCCTTAGGATCCCTTTTAAGGAGCCTTAGGTATCCCCTTAGGATCCTTTAAAGGAGCCTTAGGTATCCCCTTAGGATCCTTTAAAGGAGCCTTAGGTATTCCCTTAGGATCCCTTTTAAGTAGCCTTGAAGTATTCCCTTAGGATCCCTTTTAAGGAGCCTTTAAGTATTTTCCTTAAGATCCTTTAAAGGAGCCTTAGGTATTCCTTGAGAGAGATATTGAAGCCGCTCGCTTTGCTCGCAGACCCAGGGCCGCCTCGCCCAGCGACTGGCTGAAAACCTGCGTAGCCGCCCTGAGGCTTCCAGGGTCCTTGAAAAGCGATCCTTAAGGGTTCGTTTAAGGGATCCTTTAAGGGATCTATAGGGTTTAAAGGCTTAGGGTTTAGGGGTTTAGGGGTGATTGTAGCTTCCGTCCTTTAACTCAGAGACTCCAGGGATCCCTTAATTAAGGAA